CATGCAATTGTAATTTTTTTCTTTTTGCTTCTGTCCTCTAATTAAATTACAATGAATATGTTACCTACAAAATAACTATAACAATTTGTTTTAAAATGTAGGTTTATTCTGTACTAAGTCATTTTTTACTCAAAAGTCATGACCCAAAAATCACTCCTAAAGCCTACAGAAACTCCAACTCCTAGTACAAGTCTTCACAAGATGACATTAATGTTCTCTCTTTGCTGAACCTTCACATTTTACACCTCAGCCACACTAAATTTCACTGTCCCAAAAAAGTCAGATTGTTTTAACATCACTAATCTTTACTTATTATTTTTTAAAGATTTATTTGTTTATATATACAGAACTGGGGTACAGGCCAGAAGTGAGGGTGGTAAGAGGATTCACCAGAGACATAATAGGGAGCAGAATAGGCAGATGTACTGAAATACACTGCTGAGGGGAGCAACAGGCAGGTCAGGTGTACACTGTTGAGGAGCGCAGTGGGTGAGACAGGAAAGGTCTGCTGCACCATGTGGGTCCCTCCCTGGCTGGGGATCAAACTCATGTTGTAGTGACTGCAATAGCTTCATAGTGCTGTGCTTTAACCTGTTGTGCCACCAGGGAGGGCCCAATATCACTAATCGTTCATAGTGCCTGACAAACAGCATACTCTCAAAAGGGAGTAATATTATATATTGCAAAAGCTCATAATAAACAATCTTTGGAGTATAGTTACAATGTGGCATCAAATATGACAAAAGTACATTCCCAAATTTAACAATTAGAATAGTTTGAATATTTGAAACATAAACTTAATCTTGAGGGAGTACATCTTTGGCAGCAAGTGTTTATACAGATACTGAAAAGTATATAATATTAATGCCATTCAGTTACTTAAATTCAAGTTACTTCAAGCTCCTAATAGCACATACTCTTAATAAGGAACAGATATTCTTGAACTTAAGAGGGTTAAGATATACAAGTCCCTGATAACAGTAATTTTATGTTTCTGTGTACACTACTCTAAAAATCCATTGCTTTGGACGTACCACCTGCTGGAGTCTGTCCCCACCAGAGAACTTTCTTATTGACACTGCCTGGGAAGTAGGTTCCAGCGCCAGAATTATCAATATGACTCAGAAGCAGCATCAGTGTGAATGAGGAGATATGGAACCCAGAGGCCACACTGATCTGGATAAAACAGGAAGGTCTACTATTCCACAGAAAATTCCAAAATAGAGGCGTATGGCATACCACTCCACACACCTGCTCTACAAGAGGTTCCTGAACCGCTCTGCCTTGCTAACTGCTCCCAGTTGTTCCTGCAGATTTGAGCATCCTGTTCTGCAGTCCAGGAACACAGGTCCTCTTCCAGAAAGAGGTCAAGGTTCAGAAAAAAGACAAAGCTGTGGCTGACTGTTGACCTAAAGTGTGCAGCAAGGAAGGAGTTGGAGTGATAGCAGTGGGGCAGGAGACACAAAGGAACAGATTGATGATTCAGTGGGTATATGGGTAGGAGGGCTGCACCTAAAAGGAACAATAACTATACAAAGGTGACCAAAGATATAAGAAAATAAAAAATAAAAAGAAAAATGATAAAGACTCCCCCCAAAGGTGGGGGGAGGTTAAAAATCATTGCTTTAAGAGAAATAGAGATTCAGTCAGTATCAATGACAAGGCAACAAAGTTGACTGCCAAATAAACTGAACCTCTTAAATACCAAGAGATGTTATTTTATTATTATTTTTAAATACTTTTGAGGCCTTCCCTGGTGGCGCAGAGGGTTAAAGCACAGCACTAAGAAGCTAAAGCCACTTCCGCATGAGTTCGATTCCCACCTGCCCCAGAGGTGACCACATGGCGTGGCAGACCTCTCCTGACGCTCCCGCTGCTCCCCTCAGCAGTGTACTTCGTAGATCTGCCTGTTCTGCTCCCCACTCTGTCTCTGGTGAAGCCTCTTGCCGCCTCTGGCCTGTACCCCAGTTCTGTATGCACAAATAAATAAATCTTTAAAAAAAAAAGTACTTTTGAAAAAAAGTTGCTTTTGAAACCCAAATGCTAAGCACATTGTTGGGTAGTCAGAGGAGATACTGTCCTTTCCCTTTAAAAGAACATTTGAATTCATGGAAAAAAAAAAAAAAAGGAAGTTGGCCTTAGGGAATAAAATAAATGTTAAATGTCTTAGCAGGAAATATTTAGAAAAGACTTAAACTAATAAAGTCAGTAGTGCTGGGTCATCCTGAATATAAACTCAATTGTCTAAAATTGCTAAAAAAAAAAAAAAAAAAAAAAAAAGCTGTTTTACTTAAAATTATCTTTGGGTACTATGATATACATTAGCTAATCTAGATTTCTAAAAGTCTTTATAATAGATCTAAAATAGTAAGATTAAAGGGTCTTCCCTGGTGGCACAACTGGTTAAAGCAGGGCACTATGACACTACCTGCAGCCACTGCAGTATGAGTTTGATCCTCAGCCAGGGAAGCAACAGACAGTACAGTAGACCTCTCCTGTTGGCCCACCACTCCACTCAGCAGTGTATTTCAGTCAGTCTGCCTGTGCTGCTTACTACTGTCTCTGATGAATCCCCACACCTCTGATCTGCAATTTCACAAGGTTCAGGTACTGTAACTGACTCAATTTGTGGCTCTGGTATTGTGGGGTGTCTGGTTAGACTTCAACTTGAGATTTCTCTCACCCTTCTTGAACCAGATTACCCAAGAAATTTTCTTCACATGGATAGCAGAAGCACAAAAGTAAACAGAAATACAAAAGGCCTTTTAAGACACAAATAAGAAAGGTTTTTTAAGTAACTGCAATTCTTGCCACATTGGCCAAACATACTGGCCAAAACATATCCAGAGAAGGGGAAATGTACTTTGCCATGAACTCATGACAAAATGTGGATACAGAGGAGGGTGAAGAATTGCAGTAAATCATTCACTTAAGTAAAATACTTCTATTTTCTTTGGGGGAAAAAAAAAAGAGCAGGTCAGTGTGACAGCTGTCAATTACAGATAATGGCACTGTCACAAGAATATTCAGATAAACATTCCTTTTAGGGATATAGGATCATGATTACTATAGAACACAAAATGTTTAGGAATATAACAAAAAGAATATGGATTATACTGCTGCTTTCATCTTCACACTCCTGCATGCCAGCTCAACAATGTACTGAAGCAATTGCATTTTTCCCCATTAAGCAACATCTCTCATCTTTGGACTTCATGTGCATCGTCTCCTCCATCTGGAACATTTCACTTTTTCTTCACTGGCTAATCCCGATCCATCATTCAAGTGTCAGTCTATATCTCATCTCTGAAAAGTCTTTGAATTTAGATATAATATCTCTTTCCAATATTTCCCATTAGCATGGTATTTACTTGTCCCATACTGGCATGTATACTTTATTTATAAGTATCTTAAGTTCCTGGTACTAGCCTGACCTAGTAACACACATTGATGAAAATAAATACTTTCATTCTACAATTAGGCAAATTATTTGGGGAAAGGAGGAACTTATAAGTTATTACAATGCACACTTTTCTCAACAAAAATTGTTTTAAAAAACTAACTTTACAGTTCCTAATTCACTATGTGAAAACTTTAGTAAAAACAGATTTCCTCATTTATAAAATGAAAGTAAAAACAGTGAATCAAAGATTGATTTATTAAAACAGTATCAAAGTTTGAACTTTCCCACAAGATGACTTCAAGACTTAACTACAAAGCTACAGTAATTATGACATAATAGAACAAAATAAAGCATAACATAATAAAACAAAATAAAGTTGAAAAGTAAACAGACCCACACATACAATGTTTAATTGGTTTATTATAAAAGCCAAGATAATTTAACAGGAAATAATACTCGTTTTAATAAGTAGTTATCAGACCAAGAGGATAGCCATATTAAAAAACAAGAGCGAAAGCCTCCACACTCACTTTAAACAAT